GTCGCCGGGGCCGCGGGCGAGGGTCTTGGAACTTGTTGTCGCAGCGGAGGTGTTGTACGCAGGTTGAGTCCAGCTGGGGTCCACGCTGAGCTGTGTTGGGTGCGGCGCAGGTGGTTTGTTGAACTTCCCGGCGGGCTTTCGGCCGCCAACTGATAGCACGCTGGTATTGATGGAGATGGTCGTTAGGCAGGTCCCGGTTGCCGATGGCCCGACCGCGGCACAAGTGATGACTGTTAGGTGGGTTTGAGATGCCGAGTTCCTCTGAGAAATTTGGTGGGTTGTTTGCGGCTGAGACGCGAAGTTGCGCCGTGCCCTCGGTCGGTGGCCGTCGACAAAAGCCGAGTCATCGCTATCGGGCAAGAGCGTTTGAAGCAGAACAATGGCGACAATAGCAGCTGCGACTAGCACCATCTGAACCACCAAAAATGGCCATCTCAGCGGCACAGGCTTGTATCGGCGCTGGCTCGGCGCGGTGAGAGTCTCGGCCATCTTCGGGTTCCATGCCGCTCCTGTGCGGTGTCGAAGGAATGTCGATGATGAGATGAAATGGAAGCCGAGGAAGCATTTTGTCGGGGGTTTTCCTCGTAGCATCGATGTCGGCCGCTCAGGGGAAGGAGACGATCCAATCCCGTTGCTTTGCAGGGAATCGCTCCTTCCCTTCAGCCCTACCTGTGGATTTGCGGCCTCTCTTGCTTCTGATTGGCCAAAAGTTGGAGATTGGCCGTTCAGCTCCCGTTGGCCTCCCACCCCTCACGATCTCTTCCTCCAAAACGCCAAGATGTGGAGATGCGTTCTGTGTCTCGACCTGTTCCATGCGGCCGAAGCAGTGGATGAGGCCCCGCCGGGACTGCCCGTTGTGGCGTCGAGGCGTCGGTCTCAGCATCGTCAGCGCAAAGGGGGCCCCTGAAGGCAGTGCAGTCATCGATGATGACCTGTCTGCTGAATCTCTACAAAAGCCGAGGCAGGATACGAATGCCCAAATCCATCGTGAGCGTTCCATCGCATCGGACTTCATTCTTTGGTTCTTCCACTCATTCCGTCCAAGATTTTCTGCCACTCGTTCAGCATGCATTTTCATCCCTCTTTTGCCACCCTCGGTGCAGGGCTCCTCTTGCTCGGGGAGGCCACCGCCCTCAGCATCCCGGGGCTCCACTTCCGGCGCCAGGCCGACACGATTCCGGGGCCTGTCAGCGGCGTATCTCCAGCATACAGGCCCGAAGTGGAGTTCATCACGGAGACTAACCTAACGGAGCTCGCCGCACCCTTCCTTCCAGCGCCCGTCAACGGTTCGCTGTATCTGCCATCTTTCCGGCCCAAAAAGTTCCCATTCGCCACCATTCCCCCGCATCCGTCAAATCCGATCCCCAATGCCATCTCCGCCCGTGGCCCCGACAGCGGCCGTCTACCGCAACCAAAGCCCACCGCAGTGCCGCCCGAGTACCGGCTCAGCCCCCCTTTCCTATCCATGGGGCGAGTCCGCTCTCGTGACGGACAAGGAAAGGTCATCGGCACATGCACAGGTACCCTGGTCGGATCCCGGCTGGTTCTCACGGCCCTCCACTGCGTCAAGGACCGACCCCCTGGCTGGTCTCTCGACTTCACCCCGGCCTACGATGGTACCAACCCCAATCTACCCGATGACCCAGCCGGTGTCCCCTTCAACGCCGAAAAGTGCTTCGGGCTGCACAACTCGGGCCAACCCGTTGAGTCCATCGTCCTCGACGGGCGCGACTACGTCATTTGCGTGCTCGCGGTGAAGACGGTCGGAATCGACCTCGGCTACCTCAGCATCAACGTGCCCGACCCAAGCGACATACAGAGACAGACGGACAAGTACAAGGGCACCACGTGGTTCAGCGCGGGCTACCCCGGGAACATGCAGGACGGCAAAGTCATCATTCGCGCCGAGAACGTCAGGATCGGGCACGTTGAAAGGACGCCGGAAAACCTCAGGACGCTGGTGACCCCGCCGTTTGCCGACAAGGGGTGGTCGGGCGGCCCGCTGTACGGCATGGGTGGACCAGACGGCAAGGACGCGGAGATCATCGGCATCATGAGTTCTCATCGGGAGGTCAGCGTGCAGGGGAACTCTTACAATGTGGCCCTGCATAGTGGTGGAGCGAGGCTCGCGAACTTGGTGGCCTGGGCGAGGTGCGAGTACATGGAGGAGCCGGAGGAGTGCCCGAACAAGCCGTGATCAAGACAGCATTTGTCCGAATTAGGTAGACCCTGGCCAAATTGATGGCTCCCAAGCACTCGCTTGCTTCTCCAATTCTTGCATTGACCACTCTGCAATTCATGACATGCCCGCTCCAAGCACCGAAGGTGACCCCCTTATCTCGGGGCCCGCCGAGAGGGCTTGGAAGACTGCGAGATGGCACACTTCTAGTGCCGAACGGGACCTACTTTGTCGGGTTACCGCCAAGGCGGGCTGCCGAAATTCCCGGCGTTCCTGCAGCAGTTTGCACCCACGTTGTGTTCAGATGGTGGTCGGTAAAAACGCATGTTGAGAAGAATCGGTAAAATCGGCAGCCGGTTGATTTAGCCTCTTTGGCGCCATCATTGCATCAATTCGGGCGCTTGATATGACGAACATTGCTCCGGATAGTGGTTGGTGGGCTACGCCTGTCGTATTTGTCGCGATTGTTGCAGTCTGGTCGACGCCGATGTGCCATGGGCTGTACAGCCGCGAGCCGGGTCTGGAAAGGGCCAAGTGTGGGGAGAAGGGGACCACGGCATCCACCGATGCACTCACTTCACTTAATCGTAGGGCAAATAGGTAGAGGGGGAATGATTTATCATGAAGGCGTCCGTCCCAACACCATGACACAGACCTGCATCTGATCACCCCCCCTCCTTCTCGTTCCTTCCATTTTTTTTTTTCGACTTGGAATTGTCGGAATCGGAATCGGAAACCATGCGGTGCACGTACATCGGCCTGGTGGCTGCGGCCCTGTCGGGCATGGCGGTGGGCGCGCGCATTGAGAACATGAAGATTGGGTCATTGGCAAAGGACATGAGCAACCACCGAATCCTCGCCGACATTGGCAGCCACCGCAAGAACAGCAGCAGCGTGTCGGCGGCGAAGCTGCGCGGCGAGGACGTCTCCCAGCTCGAGCTGCGAAATCTTCATTCTCGCCAGGCGGGCGCCGCCTGCGGCCCGCAAGCCGGACGGTGCGCTGCCGACCTCTGCTGCTCCGACTACGGCTTCTGCGGCGACTCGGTCGACCACTGCGCGCCCCTCTTCGACTGCCAGCCCGCGTACGGCGTGTGCGGATGGCCGCGCGCCCCCGCCACGACCGCAGCGCCCCCTCCGCCGCCAACAACTTCGGCGCCTCCTCCCCCGCCAACCACCACATCAACCTCCACCTCCACCGTCGTCACCACCTCCATCGTTTCCCTCCCACCCCCCACCACCGTCCCCGTCATCACCCCGCCCACAACCACCTCCCGCCCCGTCGTCGTCCCCCCTACCTCCACGGGCCCCATCCTCCAACCCACCTCCGTCAACGGCCTCCGCATCACCACCAACGGCCAATGCGGCAACGGCACCATTTGCGTCGGCGCTTCTAATTTTGGCCCCTGCTGCTCGCAATTCTTCTGGTGCGGCTCCTCCCTCGACTTCTGCGGCGCCGGCTGCAAATCCGAATTCGGCGCGTGTCTAGGCATCCCCGGGCAACCAGGCATCCCCGCCGCGAACCAAACTTCCGTAGTCGTTGCCCCGCCTACGGTGGTGACTAGCGTGGTGGTCCCGCCCACGGTGGTGATCAGCACGAGTATCGTGTCGCTTCCGCCCCCGACGACAAGCGTGGTTCCGCCTACGACGAGTGCGCCGCCGCCTCCGCCTACTACGACGACGAGCGCGCCGCCCCCGCCGCCGACGACGACGGCGGTGCAGTTGCCGCCGGGGATGCGGAGCAGTACCGATGGGAAGTGCGGGAGCGGCGTTACGTGTCTGGGCTCGACGTTTGGAAGGTGCTGCAGCCAGTTTGGATGGTGTGGAGATGGTGATCAGTTTTGCCCGCCGATTGTGGGATGTCAGGCGCAGTTTGGGACTTGTGATCCTTGAGTTGGGACTGAGAGTGAGAGTAGGGAGGGGGAAGGGAAACCTGGAGGCATGTTTTTTGGGTTGGTGAGGTGGAGAAAGGGGTGTAAATAGGGGTTGGTTGGTTGTTGTGAGAGTTTGGAAGTTGTCTCGTTGATACTGATACAGGGTGAAGTTGTGGCTAGTAATGTGATTGTCATTGTGTTGATTTGCTTGCAATTGTGTTCTCTACGATTGACTAGAGTTCAGTGAGAGTTAAGTTTGCTGTGATGCCTTCATCTTGCACAGATCTACCCTCATTCTCATCCGTCCAAATGAGGCCATAGAAAATTCACGTGAACGGTAAGGTACAGGAAGGTCCCTTCTCCAACACATCATATGTGCCTGGTGCCTAGAAAATGCAATTCATTTCAATCCCCAATGTCGGAATCTTGGCTCGTCTGTTCGCAGTCCCACGCTCCGTCGCCTAAACAGCCTCTTTGAGAGGGTAATTGCCGCTTGTGACGCCGGTACATGGCCGAGCGCATCGCTAGCATGCAGACGTGTTCTAGAAATTGCGGAGAGCCTTGGTGCGCGCGGCCAAGAGTGGGGATATGGGGGATCGAGCCGGACGGAGTACCCCTTTTATCCGTCTTTGCGGGGGAAGGGAGGATTGGAGAACTGTGGAGGGGGTCTCGGCAGTCGCTCCTCGGGTACCTGTGTGTCTGGTTGACGTCACCAGGGGTTATCTCGGAGATGCAGTTGCTGATGTGTAGAGAATGTTACAGAGTGGCTTGCATCAGGTGTTGTGCTCCTCTATGTCACAGCTGTTGGTATACCCCCCAAGTCACTTTGTGCAGGTCTCTCGAAACGAGGGGCTATCTATCTCATTTTCTTGCAAGGGCGCAAAGCAAAGCAGGACAAAAAGAGGAGTGGCCCCTGAGAAGAGAAATGTTTTGGTTGGAAATGCAAAAAACGATCCACCCAGGGGTCGAACCTGGAACCTCCTGATAACTTCTTGAAGTCGTAGTCAGACGCTCTGCCATTGAGCCAGCGGACCTTTTCATTGGTTGCGGGTCTGGTAATTCACCTCTCATTCACCGCATCCGGAAGGAGCACCCACTTCCTCCCTAGGATTCAGGCTTTTCCCAACGCAACGATTCACACTATGATTCCTCACCAAACTGAAACTGGAATCATCAAGCCCATACCTCTCCTCATCCGCATTGTACCCTTCCCTCATGCTCTCGTTGATTGTGCCCAACCCTATCCTGGAGCGCCAGTTAACCGCAGGCACAGGAGTGCCAAGGAGTTGATGCAACGTCGACGAGAACCCTAAATTTCGTGTTTTATTCATTTTCAGCAAATGTATCATTGGGAGTCAAGTGGTGCGCTTCGACTCTTATTGAAGTCGCATGGTTGCGTACTCACACCCAGCCGAGCAGGTGCAAAGGGCGGAGCCGAGCTCATGCACGTCGGCAATTGGAATCAGACCACAGTGCTCCGACATCCGCCGCGGCCGGCCCCGGAAACTCACGGTCGCGACCATCTCCTGACGGGCCTGCTGATTAACTCATCAGCCGACACATCTCTAAGCTTCCATCAGTTCAAAAGTATTTCAAGACCCAGGGGTCCATTCGTCACACAAACCTTGCCACTTTATTTTGACAACTTCAATCCAACAAAACAAACCAAGACATAACACAATCAATTCCACTCAACACCAAACACAATCATCACCATGAGCCACGATCGAAACGGCCCAGACAACCATCATCACCCCCACTCGCTCAAGGGCGCCATCGACCACATCACCAACGACGCGTCCTTCGGCGAGGAAATCGACTTCGTCGTCGGCCTGACCGCCACCGCTCTCACAGCCGACCAGGTCCTCAAGATGCGCGACTCCAAACACCACAAAGCCATGCATCTCGCCAAAGCTGGGCTGGGAGCCGTCGCCGCAACCACGGCGTTCACCATGATGGCACGGGAGCACAGCGCTGAGAAAAAACACCGCGCTGTACTCAAAGAGCGGGAATTCATACGGGGGCGGTTGAGGCAGCGGGAACGGGATCTCGAGAGGGGGTACGCAGAAAGCTTGTCGGACAGTGAGGACGAGGTACATGGAGAGAGGAAAATGATCGAGTACCCGGGCCGAAGGGGGACGTCGATGCACGATGCGGAGTATGCGAGGAGGTATGAGCGGTCGCGGTCGCCAAGTCCGTCCCGGTCACGGTCAAGGCCGGCGTCGAGACGGGCGGTGTCGCATTCGCCGCCGCGGCATGAGAAGCGGTCGGAGAGTTACCCGAGGTTGACAAAGTTCTTCGAGGCTGTGAGGGATTCTTTCGAGGAGAACAATCGGCGATGAGGAAGCGAGTCTCGAAAGGGGGATAGGGGCCAAGTTGGGGTATGGTTGTTGGCGTTGACCAGCTGCATCCTGGCGACGCCCGAGAAGGGGTTGGGGAACAAAGAGCGGCTCGGGGACGGGAACCGTCGAAGACGCGGAGGTAGCTCGTGTAACGCAGCGGGATGCCGTGACTGGCCGAAGACCGCCATCGGCACGGCCCAAGTCCGAACCCCGCGATGCCAACCCTGACAAGACAGACTGAGTCAACAAATATCAATCACTGGGTCCCGTCATATTCGGACCACCCAATCTCAACCCACTTGCCACCAATCTTTTTACTTATCCCAAACCACGATGGCATCAATAACACCCACCCCATCCCTAACCCACAATTTCGCAACCGCAGCCGATGGCACCAAGCTCAGCTACTACTCCATCGGCAGCGGCCCCGGCATCGTAGTCGTCCACGGCGCCATGTGCTACGCCCTCTCGCATAAGGACCTCGCCCTGGCGCTAAGCCCCTATTTCACCGTGCACATCATCTCCCGCCGCACCCGCGGCCTCTCCGGTCCATACCCCGACCCCATCACCAACTGTCCCAACCGCGCCTGTTCCAAATCGACCCCGGCAGACCAAAGCACAATGCGCATCGCCCACCGCGATATCCCCCGGACGTACACCCCATCCCACTCCTCCGCCGTGCTGGAAACCGAAGTCTCTGACCTCCATACTCTCCTCACCGCCACCGGTTCGCACTTCATCATCTCCGTGTCCTCCGGCGCGCTAATCACACTATCTTACCACCTAACCTACCACTCCCCTGCCTCAACCGCAGAACCAGGCCTCCTCACCAAAACCATCCTCTTCGAACCCGCCGCGCAATTCTCCGACCTCGACAAGCCCGTTTCCCAACTGAAGTACGCGCATGGGCTCGCCAGGTACGAAGAGGCCCGCGCCGCGGGGGATATCATCTCCGCGCTGGTCTCCGCGCTGAAGGTCACGCAGATGATTCCGCCGTGGATACCGGACTTTGTAGGGAAGTGGATGTTGAAGCGGAAGGTCGTGACGGAAAAAGCGAAGGCGGGGAAGATCAAGGGGGAGGGGCAAGCTGGAAAGGAGGAGGGAGGAAAGGAGGATGAAGGCGTGACTAACCCGTTGGAGCTGGCTGATTGTTTGCAATATGACTTTTGTGTGGGGGAAGCCATGGTTGGGGACTCGGAGCGGTTTAAGGGGATACAAGGGGTGGAGGTGTTGTTGATGGGCGGGACGGAAAGCCAGGGGTTTTTGGAGGAGAGTTTGAATGCGCTGGAGATGTTGATCGAGGGGAGCAAGAGGGTGGTCATCAAGGGGATAGGACATGATGGGTTGTGTCAGAGGGAGAGAGGGGGGAAGCCTGAGTTTGCGGTGGATGAGATACGGGGGTTCTTTGGGGAGTAGAGGCAGATGCGTGAGTGTTGAATGAAGGAGTTAAACGGGTGACATGATCGATTGATGTTCCTAAATGAAGTGCCACTCACACGGGGGAAGGTATATCTTTGACGGACAGACCTTTATGCATCCCCGTACCGGCTTTTAGAATATGGTCAAGGCATTGTTTGATGCAGTGAGAGCCTTGAAGAATGCATGCAGGGTCCTCTGTGAAAAAAAACAAAAAAAAACAGGCCTTTTTACATGGTCAGGAGCCGTTAGGGGGATGTCACTGAGGCATATCTGTTGAAGAGATACTTTCCACAGCGTGCCGGTGTGTTGATGGTGCAAGATGGGGATCCGCCAAGAAGATCGAATTCAGGGGGCGACTCGTGGAGATTGGGGACACGCTAGGGCTGAGAAGTATCCAATGGTGCACCAAAGATTCAGCCACTAGCTCAGACATCGTGATGCAAGCAATCGGGGAAAACATGGGGAAAGATGGCAGCGATATGGCTGTCGTGCAGCAGTAAAACCAGCGCGTCCCTCGTTCCCGATCGCCCATCTCACCTCCACCGTCAACACCAACCAGTCACTCTTTTATCTTCCGGTTGGGAACCAGCGCGATGCGTCGCATCTCAGTGTTCGTCGCCGCAACTCTGGGGTCATTGGCGCTTGCGCTTGGCGATGGGCCCCCTTTTTCTTTTTGCGACCAAAAATGCAAGCAAGCACTGGGCTACCTCGCGGGATCCTGTCGCTCGCCCGTTCCGCCCTTCTGCATCGACGACGTCCACAGCCAAGCAACCGAGTTCTGCAGTAGCTACCTCACTCTGACCGCCACGTCGCTCGCGACTACCACCGGGATTGTCACCGTGACCGTCACCGAAACCGACACGGTCGAATCCACACTCGTCGAGACCTCAACCACGACAACCGACACAACCACCACCGACGTTGCGACTTCCACAGCGACCTCCCTCTCCACCACAGTCGTCACAGTCGCGACCTCCTACAGCCTCCCTCCCCTCGTCACCGTCACCGTGAAGCGCCGCGGCCCTGCCCCGTCCTGCCCCGACCTCGGCACGCGTACCCCCTGGCTCACCCGCCGTCCCGCCTCCATGCTCTCCTCCATCTGCAGCCGTCTCGGCGTCACCCCAACCACCACCGTAACCGACACCTCCACCGCGACTTCCACCGCCACGTCCTCCGATACAACCACCACCACCTCCCTGACCACCTCCACCACCGTCGAAGTGTCCCTGTCCATCACGACCTTCACCTCCACCACCGTGACCACCACCTCTGCCCTCGCCACCAGCACCGTCACAATCGACTACTGCGATCCCGCCCATGCCGTCCAGCTAGACACCGAGACCATCAGCGACGACCTCACGATGCTCACGCCCGTCGGACCGTCCGACGCGTACGCGTGCTGCAGGATATGCTGGACGATGCTGGACTGCGCGGCCAACGCCTTCAATGCCGTTGGGCAGTGTCAGCTGTTGTTGAGGTCGAACCCGTCGGGAGGTCTGGGAACGCCGCAGTGTCCGTTGGGGGTGGATGACGAGTTGGTTTATATTGAGGAGGAGGGGGGGAATACGTGGAGGGGGCCTTGTGGGCCGTTGTATTGAGTTGTGAATGTCAGATGGGTCTTCGCTTCGGGCTGAGTGCTTTGGGATTGGGGTTCAAGGTTAGCTGAAGTTCCGTTGATAAGGCGGGCGCGTGGGTCGTACCTTTGATATCGCCCAGCTCGCAGCCTTCACGCACTAGAAGTCGCATCCTCCGCCCTTTTCCGGCTGGCCAGGATGTCCTCCCTCCAATTGCTCCTCCCGTACCACTTCGTAGCCCGATTGAAGGTGCGTTGCCACCAGTCCGTCACCCGTTCCCAGAGTATTCCAGGCAGATCGAGCCTGTCCGCGATCCAGATGAGAAAAACGCCCAGAGCGTAGGTGCTGATGGATGTGACCACCGTTGCGACCTTGAATCGGGTCACTGTCTCGCCGTTGTCATCCGTGGTAAAAAGCTCGGTTCCGAAGACCGACTTCCTCGTGCGTCAGTTGATCTTGACCTCTTCGTGATCAAGGAAAAGGGGACTGGCTTACCGCGACGAGGCTGGGTGGGAGGTAAAGAACCGTCATAACTGTGAAGACGATCACGTAGCGATTCATAGTCGTCGACCGTGATGCCTCACGCAAAGAGGTTGCATTGAACAGCTGTATGTGTGTCAGCAGCGGGAAACACGCATTGTCAGAGTGTTCAATGACCTACGCCGTCTCTCAAGCTCTTGACTTCTTCAGTCTTGTTCG